ATTATCATTATCACAATCATATTTTAATAAAAAGAATATATTTTCATTTATTTTCTGTTTATTTAAAAAAGAAATATTTGATAAAAGTTATTTTTTTTTTTATTTTATATGAAAAAAGTGTCTATAACAGAATATGTCATTTTTATTTTTTTCGTTTATCTAATATCTTAAAAAATGTTTAATATGTGTGTGGTGTGTGTGATATGAATAGTTTTAAAAAAACTGAACGAAAACGACATCTCTCATAAGATATTTAATTATTTATTCTAGTTTAATGTAGTCAAGAATGATTCATATTAGAAAGTCTCCTGTTGTTCCTGTTGTTTTATGAATTTATCGGGAAATAATAAATGTGATTGAAAAACTGAATAAATATCGATGAAAAATGAGTTTTTATCAAATATTATAAATAAATGTAAATAATAATTAAATTCGTTTCATTCTAATATAAAACATTTTCATAGTTCCTTTAAATATTTTTTTAGTTTCGTCAAAGAAAAGAAAAAAAACGAATAGATTTACTTTTAAGAAAAAACAAATAAACTGATTTTATTCTATTATAAATGATGATTATTTATGAAATATTCTTATTTCGAAGAAAAATATTTTCATATCAAGTTGATTGAACTTAGCTTAATTTATCAAATTAAATTTGACTAATTTATTTTTCAATTTTTATCTATCAATAAATAAATATATATGTTCAACTGATTTATAGTAAAATAAAATTTTCAAATTTATTCAATTTAATAAAATAGATCGAAGAAGTTTATTTTATTATTGATAAATAATCAATTCAGTATGATAATAACATATTGTTAATCTTAATGAAATACATTAGACGAACATATTTTTTTAATGCATTTATATAAATATATTAGTTAAAACTGATTTATTTATTTTAATTAGATAAAAAAACAAAAACAAAAGAGAATGAATTGTCAATCATTATCAATATTATCTCGATTTGTAAAAATTAATTCAAATATTGAAAATCGATTTATTCTAGGATATAACAATAGTATTTTAGTTAATATAAATCAAAAATCAAATTGTCGAGATTTAGGAAAAATTTCATCAAATAATCGACGACCAAGCCGTATTCGTCGATTTATTCGTTGATTTGGATGGAGAGCTGAACCAATTATATCATCACTACCACTACCACTACCACTACCACCACAACCATTAACAATAATGCAAAAAGTAAAATGTTTTTAACTTATTTCACCATCAATTGAGAGATTTTTTCTTCGATCTTATATTGTTAAAGATGAAGGTTTAGCAAGATTATTATCTAAAACAGCTTCTATTACTATTTATGTTATGTTAACTGTAAAAACAGTTGGAAGAATTTGTGTTGATACAAAAGCATTATTAGCTAGTATTGGTATAAAAGATTTTACAATTGGTTTTGCTCTTAAATAAATCGCTACTAATTTAATATCAGGAATATTTCTTGTTATTACTAAACGATTTGTTCGATGATGTCGAATTAAAATTGATGGAATTGAAGGTTATTTCCTATTTTGTTTAATTGTTTTTATTTTATTTAAATAATTATTTTCAATATTATTAAAAATGTCTTATTCATTTAATTAATGTTCGATATGTGTTCATTTGAAAACAAAAGATGGTAATTAATTTCATTTTTATTTTTATTTTTATTTTTATTTTTATTTTTATTTTTATTTTTATTTTTATTTTTATTAAATTATCAAAAATAATATTCAATATTAATAATAGATAGTATTATAATTATTCCATGATCAATTGTTTATACAAATCTATTTTACATTATTTTAATAAAATAATAAAACCAATTAGAATTTTATCGATAGAACTAAACCATCAATAAAT